ACCGCTCCCTTGGCAGACTCCGCACCGCTGCTGGACGTCGATCCGTTTCCAGAACTCGAAACCCGCCCACACAAAGGGGAAGACGCCGGCGATGAATCCCACCTGCTCACAATGCAGGACGAAAGAACCCGTGTCATTCATGTCGGGAAAAGGGAAGCGGATGTCACTGGGGAAAGGGAAGAGTAACATGCTTCCCCCCAGAAACACGTCCACCGCCTACCTACCCATAATTGCTCCGAGGTCACTTCGTTTAAAGCCCCTCCGGTGCTGCCCGCCGCCGATGACGCCGCTGCCATACCTTCCAGCGTGGCCGGATCGAGCGGACTATCGAAGGGGGGGAGCATGGCCTGTCGCCTCATGACGGAGGGGGGGGAGGGGGAAAAGGGCGGGGACGGTGGGCCCGCTTGGTGCCGCCGCTCGCAGCAGGAGGGGGGAGAGTGGCCGTGCGCAGAATGCAGGCTCTGATGCTGGGGGGTAGGCAAGAAGGCATTCGAGACTCGGAGTGGGACCGAGGCTGCGACGGCGGAAGTGGTGAGCAAGAGCCCTGTGGCAAGGAGGATGGAGGAGGCTGGCCGTGCCACGGCGGCCTGGCAACACGAACGAGACTTGGCGGAGGCTGGCATCATCTCCCGGGTTTGTCTTCCTCGTGTCATCGCTGTGTATGGTAGAGGGGCGCATGGAGGGAATGAGGAGGCAGTTAAGGATACGTGAAGACGCTGAGGTGGAGATGAAGAAGAATATCAGGGTGATGCGACATACGTGCCCCCCGAGAGGGTGGGTGGGGTGACTCCTTCGGCCTTAAATTTTGTCACGATTTCTTCACACCCCGCACCCTACACGCAATGACATGACAAAAAAGTATGTGGAAGGAGGATGGGATGCGCTTTCGTTCCCGGCGGTCCCCCGTTCTTGGTCGTCATGGCATGGTGGCGACATCCCAGCCCCTGGCCTCGCAGGCGGGCCTCGAGGTCCTGAAGGCGGGGGGAAACGCCGTGGACGCCGCCATTGCCGTGGCTGCCGTCCTGAATGTGACGGAGCCGTGTTCGACGGGCCTTGGCGGGGACTGTTTCATGCTGTATTACGAGGCGGCAACGAAAAAAGTGCACGGCCTGAATGGGAGCGGTCGAAGCCCGCGGGCCCTGACACTGGAGCGAGCCCGGGCGGAGGCGCGGAAGACGGGCACCAGTGAAGAGGACGACGAGATGGATCCTACGCACGTTCATTCTGTCACGGTGCCGGGGACGGCTGCAGGATGGGCCGACAGCCTGGAACGCTTCGGCTCGGGCGGGGCCTTCACCCTCTCCCGTGTGCTCGCCCCCGCCGTCCGCCTGGCCGACGAAGGCTTCCCTGTGGGCCCCGTCACGGCGCACTGGTGGAGGGAGAACGAAAAGCAACTCAACCGCCCAGGCAACCACCAAGAGGAGCTCTTGTCCCCCGCCACGGGGCGGGCGCCTGTGGCGGGGGAGGTGTTTCGCAACCCCGCCCTGGCAGCCACGATGCGGGAGTTGGGGGCCGGGGGCAAGGAAGCCTTCTACCAAGGGAGGGTGGGACGGGCCATCGTGGAGGTGGTGCGGGCACAGGGGGGCTGCCTGACGCTGGAGGACCTGGCGGCGCACGAGAGCGCGTGGGTGGAGCCCATTTTCACCGATTACGGCCCGGTGCGCGTCTGGGAGATTCCCCCCAACGGGCAGGGGCTGACGGCCTTGCTCGCCCTCAATTACCTGAGCGCGCTGGACCGACTGGAGGGACTCCCGCACAACGGCCCGGACTATTTGCACCAGCTCCTGGAGGTGATGCG